AGGATAAAGCAATTTTCAAGAAATAGAAATCAAATCAGACAGCAGGTCTGTGTAGAATAATCTGTATTTTACATTAACATATTTTACATCTCTTGCAGAACATTAAAAAAAAATCACAGTGAGGAGCAATTGGCATGTGAAAAAGATAGTTTCTGAAAAAATACTCAAAGGCATCATGAACTGCCAGCCCAGCTTATAGGTGTGCTGTTTTTAGTGATTAAACCACGACAATAGGTCAGCCTGAATTTTCAGCTAAAAGTCAGTGAATGTGTTTCATTTATTAATATTAGTATTAGTTCCCTGGGGGGAAAGAGAGTTGGGAGTAGATGAACCCCTGGTCCCACTGTCCAAAGTGGCACAGGCATGTCCCGTCACAAAAGGAGGGAGCATGCAGGTGGACAGATGGACAGCCTCCCTCTGAGCCTGCCTCTGCCCAGGAAGGTGGGATATTGGTATCCCAAGGCAGATGTGGGAAATTTCAGTTCCTACAGTATGACCACAGGTTTCAGCAACTTAGCATTTCTGTCACTTTTTTAATTCCCCCCTGTGAGTGAGAGATTCAGCCAGCCAGACAGAAAATCAGGGACTGGCACATCTGCTATGTGAAGCTGAGTCCTAGAGAGGATGGAGGGTTGTTAAATGCCAATAGCAGAGTTGCTGTGCAGGAGACACACATCCCCTTGAACCCAACAGGCTGGTCAGGAGATCAAAACAGAAATCTTTTAGGAGCCAAATTAGAATGGAATTTTTCCTAAATAGCGTGAGAAATATTGTTCATTAAACCCTTTCAAGATGTGTTAGTCTATTTATTTTCCCTGTTGTATGTACGGCCCTGAGGAAGTAGCCCATTAGCCAGACTGCAGATGATACTCTGGGGAAAAGTGCTTTCAGGCTACAAGGAAACCTGAGGAGCCAAGTTTTGGGCCAGGGAGCTGAGATAGCAACAAGGAGGGAGCAAGAAGAGCAATGCCATAGCTATCTTTACAAATCTGTGCAAACTGTGAATAACAGCATCACGCTTCCTGCTGTGGTCACACATGGAGAAAACCAGTTACGTGCAGCCAGCAAGCTAGCGAGCAGGGGGGCCATGCCTGTTGTCAGCCCAGATAGCATCCCAACATGATAAAATTACTTGCTCCAGCTCAGTGTGGACATGGTGGCCAGTACAGTATTGCTCCCGCAAGGACACACCAGCTGAAGAGCCTGTGAGCAGGACACATGCCACAGGACTGATGGCTCTCTGAATACCAGTACCCTCCCCAGGACTAGGGAAGGCTGGGATGTGCAGGTTCAGAGTGGGGGACTGCAACACAGCATCCTAGTGAGCAAGAGAAATAACAAAAATGACAAGGAGACAGGCTGCCCTAAGATGCTAAGATGCCTGCTGTTGAAGAGCTACACTTCTCAAGGGGGAAACTAAAGCCCATTTTCTTACTGACAGGGGAGAAATGTGTGAATCCAGAAGGTGATCAGTAAAGACATGCTTATGCATAAGAGCTAAGTGGTGTGAGAAAATATACAGAAAAAAAGTAATGCAAAGGTATTTGGAAACATGGGACTGCATCTAGTTGTAGAAAGAACATGGATTTGAAGACTGCTTATTTTAAAGACAGGTCTTATACAAAGCCCATTTAATTTTGTTTTCCTTTGGATCATGAGCAATGATAGACATACACTGAGTAATGAAAGGTGGCTTGAAGTCAACGTTTGATTACGGTTACATCTGTGAGGTCCTTGCCACTGGCATTTCTGAGTCCACACTGGATCTCTCATAATAGATGGATAAGAAAACTAAAAAGTGGCCCAACAGACTGAGAGCAATAAAAGGAAGTCTTCTGGGTTTATACTGTGCACCAGTAACCTATTTAAGCCACCCCTGCAAAATACAAGACCAGGAACTTCATGGCTAGCGAGCATCCATAGCTCAAGCTCGTGCTTTAGGCTGCAAGTTAAGTGTCTGTATTCAGAATCATCAAGTGTTTGTGGTTCAGAAAAACTTTTCTAATAGCCAGCATGTCATGCAGCACTTCTCACTGAAGCAGATAGTATTGACAGTTGTTGGGAGTAAAGTCAAGGGATGTGGTAGCAGTGGACGTTGCAGCAGAAAAATGTCTGTGTTCCCAGGAAAACCATATTTTACCCAAATAACTAGTTTCTGCCAATGATCATAGAGTGATGGAGAAGACAACACCTGTTTTGAAGGAATGAGACCTTGTGAGGTCAGTTAGCTCTTCTCCTGCCAGGGGAAAAACAGCTATATACACCCCTGACAGATGTTTTTCAAACTCATTCTGAAAAATCACCAACAAGATTCAGAGGTCTCCTAGAAAATTGTCCCAGTCTTTCTCTATCCTCACACGAGATGGCATAATTGCAAAAAAATGAAGTATGTCTTCCAGCTATTTCCTCAGTAATACTTCCGTGCATTGTTACAACACAGAGCGTGTCAATGAGAAGTGAATGGATATCTTAATCTTTTGAGATAAGAGCAAGAAAGCCTAGGTGAAGTTTCAAATCAAATTTCTTAACGTCAGGACTTTCGAATTTCTCTTCTGATTCATTATGTCTCTGTTCCCTCCAGACTCTCTGATATACAGAATTTCAGGAAAAATGATGTGTCCAGGAGGAAGCAAAGGTGAGGTAATATTTTGATGGAAACCTAATATCAGCAATAAATATAGGACAGCTTCTGCTGCTTCTTATCATAAACCTTTCTGAGAGGCTGAAGAGGCTTTGCATTTCCATAACGGAGATACATTTTTTCAATTTAAAACCCTGTGCAAGTAAAATACTGCTTTCATTGATGATTGCAGCAGGCAATCAATTCAGTATTACACGTTCTGAAATAGATCCCATAAATTGCCTTAACTCTTCAACTGCAATGTAAGTCTGACAACACCCACAGCTGAGGTTCTGTCTCCCTGTTTAGGTAGCGGGTGGTATTCTGACTGCCACCTCATAAGCAGAGCAGGTGAGCTGGCAGAAAAGAGAAGACTGGTTGAGATCTGCTGACATCAGATTAGTATAGATATTTCTTTCTTGGTAGTATTTGTTTTTCAGAGGCTCTTGAGAACTTAGAGTTTAGATCTCTGTGATTCATGATATACTGTACTATATACAAGGTCATTCATGTCACTGACAGCGTTATGGGCAATAGCGCCTGCCGTCAGCTAGCATTCAATATGTGCAAACACAGGCTGAAAACAACATTCATATTGGCCATACCATTGCAGGTTCAGTCTCGGGAAGAGCTGGGAGCATAGTTTATCTTACATGTGCTGAATTAATCATAAGAAAGTAAGGGAAACATTAGACCTGTGTCCCCGAGAGGGAAACAGTCATGGTGACATTAAGGGATTTGCATCAAAGCAGAGAGGCTGGTGCTGCTAGAGTAGGGACAGGAGCTGGAAGGTTGCTGGAAGCCAGTCCTGCGCTCAGGCTCCAGCATGCCAATTCCCCTAGCTTAAGATGTATGGGCAGCGAAAACTGGTAGCAGCATGCATAGTTTATAATGAAACCACTACCTCTCAGAGCCAGAAAACATGTCATTGTCCTCTCAGATACGTGAAGCTGAGCTACGTGGAGACAGACTCTCCTTCCATTTTAATACAACTAGTGAAACACCATTGCCCATCTCATGGCAGAAGTTTACCAAAACTCAGGTCTGAAGAAACATTTTTCCCCTCAGAAAAACCTCCACGGGGAAAATAATAAACCTTTACAAAGCCATGCAGGCATTGCACCAGTCTCTGGATCCCACATTTCTCAACTCAAAGAGGTGCACATTTTTAGCTGTGCTGTGTCCATGCTACTCACCCTGATGATATTTAAACTAATACCACAATGGGAAAAATCATAATATTTTAAAAATTCTTTCTCCCAGGGAGGTAATGACAGCCTCTAGAGTAGGGGATGAGGGAGCAGACAAGCCTGCAAAACTCCTCCTGGTGAGCAATATCCAACAAAGAGAACCTTTGAGTGGTGTAAAATCATCCTTAGGGACCCTGCTTCTCTCCTGCTCCACACTCTGAGGACTTATCTGGAGAAAAGTCAAAGAATACAAAGCCCCAAAGAAGAACAGAAACTCATTTCTTTGCTTTTCTTTAAACCTTGCAAAGGACAGACACTGAAAGCTGACCTACTGTGCTTATGAAAATATTTGCAGTTCTGTCCTGGAATTAAGCTAAGAAAAATTATTCATGTCATGAACACAGCCAGACCTCAGGTGATATGGCTTAGGATTTTTTTTTCTTTTTTTTTAGAAGGGATGAAGGGGTTTTTAAGATTTTCACACATTTTTGTGGCTTTACTCCAAACCCCTGCAACCTGCTCCGGTAACATCACTTGCACTTCGGAGGAGAAGATGTGTTAGTCCTGGGGGCAGCTGGGCTCAGGGCGGGGAGACATAGAGTGGCTGGACAGCCGGAGCCTGCTGGAAGTGGCTAAGACTCCACTAGACTAGAGGAAAGAGATGGCAGGATGCAAAGTCAAAGCTGATGAAAGATGTGCAATGTGTTACATACAGCTGATGCCAGGCACTGAAGGCTTTCACTCTCACACTGGTGAAGGAATAACAGCCACTACCTTTATTTTGGCAGTGAGAATAAATAGAGAAGAGCAAGAAGCTGCACAGACACTACAGGAATAAATATAACTCTAAATGCAGTGGAAATCTCTGCAGGAGAAATCTCGAAGCGTGTCTGTGGGTGGGTGGATGTGTGCATGTGCATCTACAAACATGTCAAGTGAGCTGTTCATCTGCTACAAATTCTCAGGCTGGCATCAGTGGATGTGGCACCAGGTTGTGAGCAAACTATCCACAATATCACTCGCTGTCTGGGAAAAGGAGTTTTTAATTTGCACTGTTGTGTAGCAGCTAATGTTTGGTATCTGCAGTAGACAGTAAATGATGCCTTTGATTTTTTTCTTTGATATAGTAATCTTGGGAGTAAACAACCATTTGTTCCTCTTTCTTTTCCAGTGTAAAGATAGTCACAGACTTATCGATAAAGGAGAAAGTTCTCAAGTGGCTCAGGCAGGTGCAGCTTGGGGACTGCATACAGGCACGACCGACCCAGATGTTTTCTGATACACAACCGGCACAGCTGGGCAAGGTTGGCAGGACCTGGGGAAAAAGAAAGTCAAGAACAAGCAACCCCAACCCCACCATGGTTATAAGTCAGAAAGCAACTAACACCAGTAAGGTTAGCAAATCATAACGAGCACTACACAATGACTTGCTGAAGTCAGGGAGAGCTAAAAACATTATTGTTCATAGTTAATTTGTCAAAGTTGGTTTGGTGATTTGAAAACTATGAGCACTAAACCCCTTTTTTCTGCATGCATGGCTAGGCTTTTCTTGAGTAAATACCTCAATACCATAAATGAGGTCTGCACTGGAGAGACAGCGCCAGGATGCATAGCCCTTGCTCAGGATACACAACAACTCCCAGAGATGTTGTGAGGATAAAGGAAAGAGGGATTAGGGGAAGCTGCAGAAGCGCTCAGTGTAGACCAGCCGTAATAGGTTGGATATGACAAAACCAGTTAGTTTTTCATATATATGCAATATGCTTCTTCCAACAGCTGGTGTTCCCACAGTTAACTGCACAAGTAGTGACTGCAATGCAGCCTTTTTACATGATCACACTGTCTCTGAATATTTCTGTATGTCAGTCTATCAGTGCTCCTCAAAATAATTTCTGTGTAATTAATTTTAATTAAGTTTGACTAAAAGGAAAAGATCTCAAAGACAGAAAGTCTCCAAAACTTCTGTACAAAAAAGCACTGAGGGTAAAAAATAAAATTTAAAAAAATAATTTAAAAAAAAAATGTCAGAGGCCTTTTTGCCCTTCCCTTGCCTTGGGGGGAACGTTACTGCATATGAAAAATTCTTCATGGAATCATAGAATCACAGAATGGTTTGGGTTGGAAGGGACCTTAAAAATCATCTAGTTCCAACCCCCAGGCTCGTCCAGCCTGGCCTTGAACACTCCCAGGGATGGGGCATCCACAGCTTCTCTGGACAACCTGTTCCAGTGCCTCACCACCCTCTCCATGAAGAATTTCTTCTCTTGTTAAACATCAGAGAGACCACTGGTAGGAAAGCTGTCGCAGGACTCATTGGGACAATGGTGAGGGCTGCTTGAGAAGTGGCTCACATGGCACAGCACACCACAGTGCTGCCCCAGTGGCTTCCCCACGGGGTGACGAGGCAGGTGCCCTCAGCCTACCTTGCTGTGAGTCAGGTGAGAGGCACACCAGGCACAAACCCACTGGAAATGAGGCTCTGTTGCCTCCATGTATGCTTTCATGTGCAAATGCCACCTGCTAGTGAACATGTCCCTGCCTCTTCTTTGCCTTCCTCTCGCTGGAGCTGCTCCAGGTTGAACCTCTACGTCTGCTCAGAAGTGCCGTGGCTCAGCCCTGTCCCTCCAGTTTCTGGTCAAACAGTAGCAATCGCAGCAGTCTTTGGCAAGCAGTGGGTAGAGAGGTGTGCTTAAAAGCCTGTCCTTATATATTCCAGGCAAGCTTCATAATCTATGCTTTTATTACTGGAAAGTTTAGGAGCTTGAATAGGCTGATAATACCCCTCTGAGAAGAAATTTATAGAAAAATATGGGATATATATAAAAAAGCAGTTGCACCACTATCACTGTCCGTGGAAGTGAAGAAGGAATCTACCACCTCCCAAAGCAGGTAGAAAAACAAAAACATTTCATGTTTCACATCACTTAATAGCTAGGAAGAGAGGCAATTAAAGGGACCCAGGCAAGTAACCACAGCAGAAATGTCGGGGAGTATAAAGAAAACTTGTCAAGATAAGTCCCTGGGGGGCTTATTTCAAACAGAAGTACCTCAGAAAACACAGAAGTAATAGGTGAAAAGGGCAATTGTATATGTTAGATACAGGAAAATGTGAAAAAAGGACTAAAGGGAAATGTAAGGAAACTGAGGAAACATCATTTCTGAGAAGTGAAGAGCCAGCAGGAGCTGAAATGCCCTATAGTCCCTCTGACTGTAAGGGAGGACATGGTCACAAGCTGAAAATGGCAATAAAAAGAAGGTTCAGAGAGAGAAAATTACTAATATTGGAGTATTTCTTTATCTACATAACCTCTCAATCACACAGGGCAACTGAAGCTGGACAGCTCAAGCACTGCCTTTGCTCATGCACTCTGCCATTGCTGATCACTGAACATCTAGATACGGGGACAGAATTCACAAGAGGTGAGATGCATTGAAGCAGAAGTCCTCCCAGAAGGTTTTAGACATGACAAATTAAAGTTCTGCATGAAAAGCCATGGAGAAAGGGAGTAGGACAGAAAGATATTAAGCCAATGTTTCATTTCCTGTATAAAATCCACCTGTGTGGAGGGCTGGAACAAAGCCTGTGGACAACACTGACAATATTAATTTACCACCCAAGAGCTATTTTGCAGGTGGAAGAGGGCTCTCCATGCACATTGTGCTTTGGTCCTTGGTGGGGATGGAGGAGGCTCAGGAAGGTGGGTAGGCTGCCCGCATGGAGGAGCACCCACCCCCTGTGCAAGAAAAGCCCAGGGGGGGCAAAAATCAACTAACTGGGTATCAGTGAGCTGGGAGCACGGGGGTTAGGGGAAGGGAAGGACTTAATTCATCACATCTGCACTGCAGGGATATTACTATTGGATCCATCAAGTTATGGCTGTATGTGGTGCAGCTGAAAATGGCACAAGAGGAGATAGATTCATTTCTGCTCAGAAGTTTCTTCTAGTAGACTAGAAAGATAATTCAAAATATTGTAGAGGCAGCAACTAAACTGCAAAGGGCACTGCTGGTTTGTGCTGGGATTGCAGCCCCATGAACCACATGGAAGAGTCTGGTGCCATGAAGCTGAATAGCTACCTGGCAAACAGCCCTGCTTTCTCCTGGCAACTGAGGGCACACACCCTCGTGTCACTTTTTCTGCGGGAAGGACGACATTGAGCCACGGTGCACAGTTGAACACAAGGTGGTGGTACTGAAATATTACCAACGAATAAACTCTCACAAAAGTTTTTAATTCCAATAGGTAAATAAATATAATTTTTCTTCAGTAAATAGGAAAAGAAAGCACAGAATGACTGACCAATTTACCCACTAAAACCCTAAGACTTGTTGGCAGATCTATCAACAAAACCAAGATCTCTTACTCGTTTCTGTGTCATGTGCTGCAAGTTTGAAATCAATAGAGAAGCTAAGAGAACTTATATCAAGCATTACTTATAAAAACAGTTAAAAAAATGTACTTAGGTAAAGGAAATAAATACTGTTCTACTTAAAAATAAGAGAAGAAGAAAGGAAACCGTTACCTTCCCGAAGCAGAAGCGCCTGCTCCACTTTGCTGTTGGGTATGGCAAGATCCAAGGCACATTTGAATTCAGCATTTCTGGATTTCAGGTTAGCACCATAGTCTGTCAGCAAGACAACTACCTCCACACTGGATTTCCTGGCTGCTGCGTGGAGGGGGGTGTCCAACCGCTTCCCCATGTTAACGTTGGCTCCTTGAGTGAACAAAAGTGCACAGTTAGATCTGGAATGCAGCAAGAACTGTCCAAACCCACATCACACAGGCTGCTTTCCACCAGGAGCCTCAATAAATGAAGGGGATGGATGACACGCAGGCCTCCCTCATTGCACTCAATAGCAGTAGTGGAAAACTCGGCAGGTCAAATATCTGCTGTGTAAATGTCCTTTGAGCTACCAAACACTGTCTGCAACGGACAGAACAGAGCGGCTTGACCCAATAGATGTTCCAAGCCTGCCAAATGCTCTTTAAATTTGTTAATAACATAAAATCTAACATAGATTATGTCAATTTAATTACCAGGTAAAAAACCACCCTTTAGGTTCCTTATTACAATAACTCCAGGACACCAAGTGAAATGCTTGCCCTGGGCTCACCAGGCACAGCAGGGCCAGAGCAGGTGTAAGTCAACTAATATACACTGGCAGCAAAAATTTATGCGAGCTCATAGGCTGAGCCTGGACCTGCAGTGATTATTCTTTCAAACAGCTTTACTGCTGTCTTTATCATCCACTGAGAAGCCGGTGAAGTCAATGCATGGCAGTTTATCATAATCAGGAGTTGATTTTGGTCACTAATATTAGCCAGCACTATCTGTGCTTCCTGTAATCATTCTAGAAAACTACAAGTATTTTATTTTCACAGTCAGACAGTCTCAGGTAGGTCTCTTTAATTAGGCCCTTTTGTGCTGGGTTCAGCCAGG